CTAGAATGTGTTATCATATTTCTAGATCGGTTTGCTAATATTCTCCTCCAAATTCTTGTACCAATTATATTCGCATATAAGTTGAATTCAATATTCTCTGACTCCTGTCTCTATGTTAAGCCATTTTAAATAAAGAATTCTTGCACACACGAAGCCAATTTTCGACTTATCCTTTCTATGACAATTGTGTGTTATAGTGGTCCAAAGTAGTAAAAGTACTAAAACTGGATCAAGAGGTTCAGTCCGGCGGGCTCCGATATATGCAATGCACAGGCGGATAAAGGACATGGCTGTATGAACTATACCATTTTATTGATCTGCCATATACTTGTTCGGCTCATGGAACATGTGTCCTTCTATGCGTTTCATATTTAAAAACAAAATTTTAGAGCTTAGTCTGCAAGGTATTCCGATGCTGTTTGTTCTGAAAACCCTGAATGTGTATGAAGAGAGAACATTTTATCAAATAGGATGCTATGCATTGGCAGCTTCTAATGCTTTTCGACCTCGATCTGCCAGACAATAGAAGCAGAGCTTTGCACTTTTTACCACCCTGGGGTACTATAAAGAGAAGTTCGAATCCGATCAGACGAGAACGAAACTTTATTTGCAGGCCTATATTTTCCGAATTGAAAAGCGGAAGCAAACGGAGTTAAATAATAATCAGCAGTTGATACTACTAGCGACTGGCCAATTGCACTTGTAACTCTCTGAGACTCAATGCTTCAAAACGAATCGCACTCTCCTCGGCCATTCGCCCCATGATCATAAACTTGAGCCGTTAAATAAGCCCCACTGTGCGGAGATCGGCACCGACAGATGTCGCGATCGACGATCCAAAAAATAAAGAAAACCCAACAAAAAAAAAAAGGCGGCCGTGCGTCGGTCGAAGAGTGTGTGAGTGTGCCTAAGTAGTAGTTGTCATTTGAGTGACTTTAATGGTCTGTTGAGACATAATCGCTGCCATTTTAAATGGAATTTTATTGCCACTTCACGAAATTTTTATTGCTCTGGCAACGGAGTTGGAGGCAAAGACTCTGCAAGTCGGGGACCAACCCAAAAAACGTTGACTGCATGCGGTGACGATGACGTGGACTGCAGACTGCACACAGCAGACGGCGGACCAGGGAGAACGGACAGAGGGCGATGGCGGGGAGGAACTGCAAATGCGTCTGTGGATGCAGCGCAATGGAAACCAAATTGTTGCATTTAAAAGCAAATTGATGGCCGCAAAACTAAAGGAGGCCACCATCGAAACGCCGCCGCCGCCGAGTGGCGAATTCAAGTTCTACCCGTCCACGCATAAAGCAAATGCCTAATAAGCCACAAGCATTTGTGGTGTGGTGGAGTAGGAGGGCGAGGGGGAAACGACTGGCAACAAGCCTAAACAACGATGTGTTGGTATAATTTTGTAGACTAGTTTATTGGACACATTAAATATGGCCCGATAATTAAGTCATAAATTAGATTGCAGCCGCGGCAACAGCAACGATGTCGACTTTGTCGACGAGTGTCACCATATCAGGTTACGTGGCATCCGCAGCAGGCGGCCGGGCAGCTCTGGCAGCTCTGGCAGCTCCAGGAGGGAAATGCGTCTCATTTAAAATTGATGCCTAATCGAATTTCTTTATCGCGTGTGTATGTCTTCTGTTCCCCGACACGGCGAAAGGCAACTGGCAACTGGCAACTGGCAACTGGCAACTGTTGCCTGGTGTCTGGAGGCAGGAGGCAGAAGACTGGCGACTGGCGACTGACGACTGCGCTCGGATCTGGCCACAAAATTTATGTATTTGCATATTGCGACACTAAATGTTTAAAGGCCTCTACTGACCGAGTTCTCCCGGCAATCGTGTCAGGAAGCTAATGTTTAATGAATTCAATTTCTTTATGCGCTACTTGGTCGATCTGTGAATGTCAACGCACGTTGGCGGCACCTGAGAAATATTTATTTGGTCTTGGCCGGGCTATTTCCATTTGTAGCATTGAATATGCATGTCTGTGGGAGCTATAAAAATCTGTACAGGTTTTCAAATTGAAAAGAATATAAAGGTATTTCAAAGGTATCTATATATTGCAAGTAGGATCGTGCCATAAATGTTTTCACTCCCAGCTGCGCTCAGCTTCTGCGGTTGTCTGGTCAGCACATGTCAAGCCCAAATATGATCTCAAGTCAGGCAATCACTTTGTTTATTATGCCAAGACAGCTGCTGTGGAGTAGCTCACAAGCTGATCATCAGACCAACGACTTATGTGGTCACCTCAACATGAAGAGGAACTGGTTGAGGCAGCTTTGTAATTGAATATAAATTCAGGCCAATGCCCAAATGCTTTGAAGTGCCCTCCTGGGCAGTAAGAGGAGCATGTAAATTCGAAATGCAAAGAGCACATCCCTGCCCTTCAATCACTCACGCAGACAGGCGCACGATGGACGAGGCTGTGGATGAGTTCGGAGGTTGTGAGGAGGCAGCTCTCTTGATGGATGACAATCAATCTGAAATGTCAGGCAAATATCAGCTTGTTGTCATTGTAGCGTAGCATGAAACGTGCAACACGGAACCTGCCACATGCAACTTGAGACTGAGTGAGTGACAACAGTCGCAATGACTGAATGACTGATGGACTGACTGTCTGGTTGATGGACTACGAAGGACATACGATGATAGCACAATGAGCTAAAGTTCAACTAAGAAACAAAATAAAACAAATACAAGAACTATTTGGATATTCAATTACAAGCATCTAAATTATAATTCAAGTTTTCAATATTCAAATCAAACGATGGAATGCTTAAACAGAGAAACCATTCAATATAAGTATTCACACTGAGTAAGCAACTGATAATTATTGCATTTTGTAGTGATTCGCTCATTGAAGCTTAGATAAACAAGGACCAGCCACATCTTCACCATTCCAGCCAAAGCGCTGACGATGCCCGGTTGACAAGTCATGCCGAGGGCGTTGGGTTAGCAGCTGGCTGTTGCCTTCCCAATTGCATTTCCAATACCAGCACCAGTTTCTCTGGCCATAGCCCTATTGCTGTGTCTGGTCATATCTTCATACTCCCCAGCTAGTTGCCTGCCTGTCATTCAGCGCCATTGTCTTTGTCACTTTCATCATTGTCAGCTCGGCTGATTTTGTCATTGTCATTGCCGTCGGGTCGGTAGCAGCATCTGATCAACATCAATTTATTAGTTTTATTTTCTGCACGGCTTCAACATTTATAATCAAGTTTTTTCTGAGGCTGTCAGAGATTTCTGTCATGTCACTTCCGTTTGCTGCCCGAGACATTTGTCGTCAGCACGAGCGACAGGTTCCACCGAATGGGCTCCCACTTGCCATTTGGTGCCAGCTACCTGCTGTGCCTCTGACGACGATGATGATGATAATGATGGTGCTGCCCGGTGCTAGGTGCTCGATGCATGATGAGTCTATTACCCACCTGGCCGTGTCAGCAGTTAAGGCTGATGTTTGAGTAATGGGACATTGCCCCAACACAGTAAGAGCGAAACCCTAAATAGCAATTAGCCCGTAATTTCGGTTTGCCTTAGACCTTAACAGAGGAAGTAGTCATGGTAATTGGAATATTGTATGGATCACAAATGGGGGAATAATTGAAAGGGACAGGAAATAGCTAGGCAAACATGCCGGAAAATGAGTTGAACAATCGACGGTTACTTAGCCTAAGAACAAAACTTAGCTTTCTCCTCACTCAATCTTTAAATTATATGAATATAAATTCCATAAAATAACAATAGTTTGCATTTATATAATTAATAATATTCTAAAATAAATATCTACCAAAAGGAAAGTGTTAAAATTCTATATTGAGTTTTGTGGAAACTGAAAAAAAGAATGTTGTTCGATTGTCTACATATTCAATTTTATGTCTCTACCTTTTATTATTTTTTTATTTTCAATCTGTATATATATATATATTTTTTTTTTGACACATGATTTAAAAAAGTTTCGCCTTATTTCAAAGAACATTTTTGACAAGCTTCACACTTTCCGGGTAAGCTACCCATCCAAAAAAGAAAGAATTTGTATTACTGTTCTTATATAAATATCGAGTTGTTGTATCTATAATTTATGCTTTTTGTCCAATCTTTGGTCCGCCAACCTACTCCAACAGGCTTTTTGTTCTTGAACTTCCGTTGTTAACCAACCGTAGGACAATATTAAGTTGGGCGTCTTCAATTCTCTGCTTCGTCTAGACCTTCCTAGACCAGGAATTATTGCCACTTATTCCGACCAACCTGTGCAACAGATGCACAATTCTCTATACCGAACTTGATCTACCTCAGCTATGAGTAGGGGCATAGAGTGAACAGGACAGCCTATAAATTTTCGCCCACAGGATCGGTGATTTCCCAATATATATCTATTTATCCGCTCTACTTAACACTCTATAAATCTAGTATACATTTCTTTACTTTATTAATCATTTCTTTCTTTAACTATTAATTGTATTTACAAAAAGGGACATAGCTGGTCGCAGGGGCAAATAGAGCATCCCCATCGGTTGGTGATGCTATTAGAAAATTGTGTATTCTAGTTAGGCTTTTAGCATTTAATTTTAGCAATGTTGTATTGAATAATTAATTATAAAAAAATAAAATAAATATTCGACTAGCGAACTGTTACTTATTTAAATTTTGGGCTTAATATACTTCGCGGTTGATCGCCCATTACACATCTCTATTAGGAGTTGGTTGCTGTAATTGGAACCCATTCTTGTTTCCAGCTGAGCTGCTTGCCAGCTTGCCTGATGGCCCAACACGCCCAACTGCTGGCAGCCTGTCCATCAGCCGTCGTCAGTCGGAGTCGTACCGCCCATCAGTCAGGCCGTCAGTCACTCAGTCATTCAGTCGTTTTGCTAGCTTGTCATGCCTCAGAGGCGGCCTGTGCTTCAGTTGCAATGTGTTGTGTAGACTGTCAACGCGTTGCTTGCTGTGTGTGAAAGCTTTGAATTTATATGGAAGTGTCAGTTGTCAATCACATTTGCAAACTGTCACACACGCCGGAGCTCAGCCGGAGTTTTAAGCTTGTGCTGGGGCGGCGAATGAAGCTTGGGCTGGTGCTGCGGCTGGGGCTGGGGCTGGGGCGAACAAACAAAGTGTGGCCAGGAAATGGCAGAGCGGCAACATATTAATCTTTGCCAACAAGAAGGATACGCGGCCGGGGCCAGGACGAGGCGTTGCTGCGGAAACAGGAAAAGCAGTCAAAGCAGACGTTGACAGGCATAAGTAATGTAAAAAAATTACTTTATAATGGAGTGCGAAAATGAAAATTGCGACAGCAGCGCAAAAAACGCACCGACAGCAGCCGCCGCAGCGCCGTAAGACGCGTAGACATCAAATTTTGTGGATTGCTACAAGCAATTTAGGTAAGATAATCACTTCACGAAGGTGCCACAAGAGCTGGCAACATGTTGCAGCTGGCTGCAGGCCCATGTTGCCAGCGTGTGGCAGTCGTCGTTGCTGTTGTTGTTGCTGCTGCTGTACAACTGACTGACTGTTGGTTGTTAACTGTTTTCTGTGTGAGCATTTCAAATGAGATGCGCTGACACCTCAAACACAGGAAGAGAGAGAGAGAGAGATAGAGAGAGGGAGACAGGCACATGCAACAATGACAACAACAGCATTAAGGCAGCAATACGCCCCCCTGCGCCAGCATAGCTGACAGCCCTCTGACAGTTTTTGTTGTTCACGCGAGTAATTCATTTTGTGTTGCTGCCGTTTGCCGCTGCAACCAGCAACAACAACAACAACAACAACAGCAGCAGCAGCAACAGCGGCAGCAACTCCCCTTGGCTGTCACCTCGTTGCTTCATTTCACATCACAAAAATGCCAAGCAAAGCGACGCGCGTTGACATGTGAGAGACGACGAGGACGTCGCCGGCTCTGCCAGGACATGCTGCCAAGGGCCCCCACGAAACGTTCCTGTGACAAGTGACAGTTAAGTTGCTGTCGTTGTTGTTGCTGTTGCGCCAACGTCAGGCGACGTAATTCATTTTGCATGTGCGTGCAAAATTTTCAAGCGTATTTATTACGTAAATTAACAACAGCCACAGCAGCAACAGCAGCAATAGCAACAGCAACAACAACAACTGCAACATACCCGCACATCAGCGACGACAGCAGGATGTTCATGACGCAGCGGAAATAAATTTTGCGTGAACAATACAACGCATTACACTGCAGGTTAGGTTAGTTTTTGAGCTTGAGGCGAGGCTCTGTAGCTCCATGGCTGGCAGAATTAATGGCAGAGCGGCTGACAGGCTAAAAGGGAGAAAAGGGGACTCTCACTCCCGCAGAAAACTCACAGGCAAACTCATGCAGAGGACTATGCACACATGCTAATGAGCCGTCAGCGAAGAGACGAGCAGCGAATCGATAGGCAGCTAGCCAGGCACAAGAAGTGGACTAGGGGACCGCAGATCAGCAGGAGTGGCAGACGCTGTCCTGGCTGACGGATGAACAGCACAGACAGGAAGTGGCTGTCAGGCGGAAAGCAGAAGACAGGCAGCAGCTTCAAAAACTTGCTTGCCAAAAAAAGAAGAAAACGCAATGAAGAAAAGTAACAGAAACCAATATAAAGTTCAAATAAACCCACAAATTGGTTCATTGAAAATAATACAAATATCAATTCCCAAACAGAAACAATTCTTTTACTACTTCTTTGAAGATTATAAAAATGTTCTGCTCATAATATACGACTATCCCACAGGTGGGAGCTTTTATAATCTGTGAGATATGGTAAAAAAGGCCAGATCAGCAGTTAATAAAACATGAACAGACGAACCGAGGAACGGTGGTTGGCAATGCCTTACTATGCCTGTTAAAGCATTTTACCAATATTCATTTAAAAAGAGTATTAAAAAACGCAGTAAAATATCTGACAAAAATTTCCAAGTATAATGGGTTAGTGAAAATCTGTTCTGCAAGTGGCAACAGCAGGTCTAAGCGTTGCGGAAAATGTATTTATTTGCATGAAGCAACACTTAATTTGAAAATTATGGGCAAAAGGAAATGCCATAAATTTACAGACATGACTGCGGTTTAGCCGGGAATCTGTTGAAATCCCGGACCAGGGGACGGAGCAATCAGCAGTCGGCAAAACTCTTTGGAAAACTGGTTTCTGTGCGCCAAGCCAGACTCTGAAGCTCAGTTAATGTTTCTATCAATTTGAAGAGCGGCTCGTAAAATTTGAGAAATGTTGACCATGGCCAGTTCCAACCCGAAGACGGCACAGCTGCCGTTAATTAATTGATTGTAAGCTCCACAAACAAAACAAACAGGTGACAGTCATCAAATGCCTAATCTTAATGCATTTTTATGGCCTAGCTAACATCTAATGTGAGTTGGCAGCTGGGTAAAAACAGCTGCTACTCAATTTCGATAAATGCAAACAAATAAAAATGTCAATGGATGTGCCAAAGACAACAAGTAATTACCTAAATCGAACAGGACCTGTCCAATAAATTATTTCTATTCTATTCTATTTGGCTTTAATAACCCATTACGATTAAATAATTTTGCTCAAAGCGAAAGCGACTAACAAAAGTCATGAAGTTACTTCGAGGTTTTTTTTTACTTTTTTGCAATAGTTCTGACAGTTCTACGGACAGATAAACCGACTTGGCTAGATTGACTCGGCAATTGATGCTGATCTAGGGAAGAGTTCGAAGATGTTTTCTGCAGCATGTTACAGCATGTTAGCCCTTTTACCCATTTTCAATGAGTTGAGCGTATAGAAATTAGTTTCCTATAATTTTGGCGAACGGGATACTGATATGATTTGCGCATTTTTGCAGTCATTCTCCATCTAAATTCATAAAAATGCTTGCCCTGACAGACTGACTGATTGGCTATGCGCAAAACCCTGTCTTAGCTTGCACCTTCATCACATAAGTTCCTAGCTCTTTCAGGTTGGCCTGTGTGTTGAGGAGACCCAATTTTATATTTAGAGATTACACTCTTGTCTCCATTTGTAATGTGAGGGGCTGTAACCTCACGTCGCTGAGATTTACATGATATATATAGACAGACAGCGAAAGAGCCAAAAAGCAATAAATAATAACGAAAATAAATGTAAAATCTTCAATCTGCAAGTTAATGACTTAATCACATGACAGCTGCACATGTCGGGAAGGAAGAAAGAAATTCTGCCAGGCTTTACTCAAGTTTAACCAATACCACAAAAACAGAAACACCAAGAGTCTGGAATACGGGCCTGTGCAGAGACAGGAAAATTTGACAGCGGACACGTAGGAGGTCTTCACCCAAACCCAACCAACAGTGGGCAGGCAAGACCCCGTCCGGTTGCGGATTCGGGTCGAGCTGCTGTCAGTTTGGCAAGCTTTTAACCCATGCTCGCAATTGAATTTCTGTGGGGCGCACACGAAACGCAGCGGGCAGACAGACACGGGCTGACAAGCAGCGGGGACTAGGCCAGGACATTCAACTAACTGACATTGGCAGGCGGTCCTCGGCGGGGGATCAGCTGCAACCACCTTGAATTGACACTGATAGCAGGGCAGTTCCAGTTCCAGTTTCAGTGGCCGTTGCCGATCCCAAGGCGAGCGAGAACTAAACAAACTTGTAGCGGCGCTTTGAATTGACTTTGTTAACTCGACTTGACTGGCAATGTTCGAGTGGAATATGCGACTATTTACGTGTATCCAGAGCTTTGGACATGCTGTGAAATCCGCAAATTGCCATGTCATTATTTGTTAGGATCAAACCGAAACCAACAGCGACGCCGATTGCGACACCGTCGGCCGACAGCCAAGGACCACGAGGACACTGGTGACGCCCCTGCCTGCACACGTTGGCCCGGCGTCAAAAGTGTAATTGCCAGCCCAGCCCGCACATCCCCGAATGCCACTCTCCGATTCCCATTCCCATTCCCTTTCCCATTTCCATGCCTTTACCCATACCATACCCTTTCCCCAGGCATTGCAGAAGAGGGCTGTAACCCGATGTCGGCTTACATACTCAAGTCAAGCGTCCGCCCGTCAGACAGTTGGTAACTGTCAGTGGGCATGTTTGACTTGACAGCATAATATTACAAATCCCTGCCGAAAGCAGACACTAACGATGACATGCGGCCGAACGGTTGAACGGCCGAACGGCTGCTCGACGCGACGGCCCAAATGGGCAAACGGCAAAAAGGACAACCACAAGGTGTGCGCAGTGAAATGGGGACTACGCAAATTCTTTGAAAATTCTTCTTCTTCTGCTGCTCGATGCAGGTAAATTGACACACGGTTGCAAATAGCAGATGTTAAGGTCTGGAGTGTCAAGCACAGGGCGTGTTCTCTTCCAAATTTCTTCGAGGTTTACCAAAATGATGCTGTAGATTATATTTAACACATCGAGACTTGTTTACCCGCTCGGTTCTGCGCCGTTCTCTGTCTCCATCTCTATATTCAGCCTGTTGATTATAATATCACATAATTTTGCTACAACTACGAATTCCATCCATTAAATTAACATTTAAGTTTTGGACACGTAAGCTGCATATGACATCATATGCAGGAAGGTCCTTGAAATAGCTATACAGACAATCTATTAGCTTTTTGGTAATTATACTAAACAAAGAAGCAGAAGGACGCGGAACATATATGTATATTGCAAAAGGTAGTTCCTCCGCGATTTTTCAAATTCAATTGAATTATTGTGTAGGGACATATTAAGATATGCGATTGCCAGAAAAACACCAGCTTATTTTTAATGAAACTAAAAAAACCAAGTAGGATACAAGCTAGCCTACAACACTAACAAGACGTTTAGCTCAGTCGTTCACAGATTTTATGAGTACAGCAGAGACTGCAATGCTGAGTGTTGATTTAAGCCATTAAGTAATTTATATACATATTTGCCAACAGAATGTCAGCCATGAAATATAAAGCAAAGCAAGTGGCAGCAGCAGATGATAAATGAAGATGCAGCTGCTGCGGCTACATCAACGCTAATTGCTCTTTGCATTTCAGAGATACACGCACAGCCGATGAGATACTGCGCAGAGCGCAACCGAAAGATACTCGCCTTACTACGTCAAATCATAATTCATTTTTCATGAATGCCGAGCCGACTTGTGAAGTGAATGTGACAAACCCACGACGCATAGTCTGAGAGGCCTCCATCTTATTCATAAGTATATTTATTTTTGTATATTTAATCTGGCTGGGCTAGGGGAGCGCGTGGAGAGGGGCATTTACTGGGGGGGCGACAGCAGAAATGTCAAAATGCATTAACATTTAATTGAGGCTAATTTAAGGCGAAATATTTCGCCTGGCATATATGAGAATTTATGCGTCTCATTTTGTCGCATCTCTTCACGTTTGCTTTTCATTAATATATATTTTTACACGCTGAAAGGGTACTATTCGACATGGATGAAATTTGTCGAGCACAAGATAATTCATTTTTTGAATCCATAATTAAAATATTTTAATTATCAGGTCGAACAGCTGTCTCCCAGTTTCAAATACATATTGTAGATCGTCTAACTTTATCATAAAAAGAAATTATTTATTGTGAAAAATTCCTTGATATCTTTCATGATATATGATATAGCTCCTAGGGATATTAAAGGTCGATTTTCTAGGGTATTTAATCTTCGGTACTTAAATTCGTATTTCTTATGCTTACTGTTTTCTGTCTCAGTTTTTCTTTCAGCCGGATATGTTGAGAAATGAGCGCATTTTGTAAAAATGTCACATTACATTTAATTTATGCGACGCCAGCCCCACACACGCTCCATAAATTTGTATCTGTATCTTTATCTGTATGCGTATCTGTATCTCGGAACAGAGAAGTATCTCTGCAGTTCTCTTAACTTGAAGTGTAGCGTGAAATTGTTTTGATGATGTTCCATGTCGCGCCGCATAAAAATTATTCAGCTGTCATTATCAACGCCAATTTAACCCCCGCTTAGCGCTAACTATTTGTCAGCTCGCATTGCCCAGCGATTCGTGCAGCAGCCGCTCTGTGCGACTACGGTTCATAGTTCACGCCGTAGACCGTGGGCCAACCCCCTTTGATTGACAGCCATGCAATAGCATTTTGTGGATTGCCCTCGTGTTGATTATCACAATTTGCTTTGCTTTGCCAAAGTCACGTCATTGCGGTTGTCGTCTTGCTCGTCGACTGTATCTGGCCTCTTCGCTACTCTCTCTCGC